CTTTTTATATAGCGTACTGCGGTATGATAGCCTTGTCTCTTCTAACACTTTGGTACTGTAGCAGTTAATTTCCAGCCACAATAGATAACTATGATATATAGAGAAACAAAACTAAGAAAGCTTTGTTTAAGCATAAAATTGAAGTGAATGTCTTTTTTTCGGAAAAAAATATGGATTAGCAGATTATATGAGTTTTGTAGCATTGACTTTCAGTAATTCGTTAGAGTATTCGTTCACTTTGGACGCATATATCATCCTCATATGATGTTGTATGAGTGTGTTAATCACACTTATTACTATATAAACTATGTTGAATGAAAACATATGCTGTCGGAAATCCGTACGGCAATATTCCTGTTTCTCGAACTAGAGAGCAATATTTGTTTATTTGAATTATTTAGAAAAAAAACCTTTCTAAAAGTCATTACTGTTGGTTATAAAAGAAGAGCTCTTGAGATTTATGATAATATCGAAGCATTGGTGAAGGAAAAAAAAAGAAGTTTTTCTTATTCTTCTCTCCTTGCAAGTTATTATTATCATAGGAAATTATTAATATAGAATAAAATTGAGATTGATTTTAAATCATTATTTTGATGGAACTTGATCATAAAAAAACTTGGTTGATTGAGCATAATACTTATATATGTGTTGTGTCAAAGTTATTGCAGAGCTATAAAATATCAAATAATAGTCATTTATGATATTTTAAATGAATGAAGATACAAGAAATTACTCAGAAACATCCAAAGTTACATTTAGTTAATATCTATACATGATTCTAAATATATTCAGATGATATTAACTTGTGTAGTTAATGAAATGGATCTCTAAAATGCTAAGCTCTTGTCAAAAAAAAAAACATTTGAAAAATACTTTGCCAGGTCATCGAGCAAATCATCAGGAGGTGCATTATAAATTTGAATGCCTATTTAATTGATATTGACACTACTGCATATTTTATAAAAGCCGATGTAATGGAAAAATTCATTGTTTCTGAATAAATATGTTGACTGAACATATTCTGAATCACTAGTATAATGGGTCATCAAACGATTGTTTTGTTAGCATCCACATGACCTCTTCTTTGGTTATTCATGGTATTCTTCTAAACTAAATGGACTAATACTGCATTTAATATCATCTATGTAATGAAATATCCCTTATATGGAGACTCTAGCTGTATAATTGATCTGTTAACAGAAATGATGGAAACACACATCGATCATTATCGTAAGCATTCTGTGTAATTCTTTTTTTTTGTTATTATCTTTAGTTTTGAACAATTTTCATTCCGTCTATTGAATGAAGTATCCCATGTTTAATACGCGTTTAGATATTAAAGATAATTACACTGTGAACGATCAGAGAAATTAATAATCGTTAGATAAAAGGTTTTTACCGTTTAATATGCGCATATCATACACGATATTGTAAAGGCTTAGTTACCTAACGTAAGTTTTTCGTTGACGAAATAGTGCCATACGGTTTTTAATATAAATGTTACGAAAATTTCGAATTAAAACTTTTTCATGACCGCAAACGCTGTAAAAAGATTGTAAATATCACCATTTTTGATGGCATATTGTTGGTTAAAATCATTCTTGAATTTTACAACCTTAAAACTTGACATTTCATAGGAATATTTTTTCTCTTTTTAATAGTATTGACTTCTATCTTTCTTCTATATTATACAAATTTTTCGTTCAAAATACATCTCGTTCCACTTCATATTTCTCTTATTGTTATGCTATTAAATTTATTTTCATACAACTTATCGAACAATAAAATTATCAATATTTTACTATCAATTTGAATAACAGACATGCTTTCTCATTTTTTTTTAATTAATGTAGACGTATCGGTTTCATTCGATAGCTATTAACGATATCTGTTGTTCAGTATCTAATCGAGAGTGAATCGTTACGTATCATAGAATGATACTCCTCGTGCTATCATACGAAGATATATGATAATCTCTATTAAGTTAGAATATTAACGTATCCACACAAACGTTTGAGGCTACTACGTAGGCAAAATAAATTATAAAAATGTAATTAATACATCGAGAACATAAGGAGCTTAAAAATGAACTGCAACTTTTCATGCCAATTTAGCGAATAATACTGTGAAAATCGGCGTTTTTTGTTTTGTCAAACAAGTAATTTTACATCGAACGATCTGAAACATATTGAAAAACTATGAAGAACATCAAACAACAAATTTTTTACTGAAATATAGGCAACTATTCATAATTTCTGATAAACAGTTTCAAGCACTGTTTAAAGTGTTAATAACAAGACTCGTGTCAGCCAGCGCCGTCTTGGGCTATGAACTTGATATTTATCAGTCCGTAAATAGGATTGAAATTAAAACTTATAAGGAAAAGTTGATCCACAAATATACAAATGATAATCAACAACGACTGTACGGATAGTTTTGCACCGTAGATTATATGAGAAGCTTGCCAGTATTTCTATGAAGAAACATGGGTTTACTATTTTTGGTATGAATCCATTGATGCTATTTGACAAATGCAAACAACAATTATAGATTGCTACATCATCTGCAGCAGATTTTTATGTTCCATAAAACATAAACTTCTATTTTATGATGCCATTTCTCAAACTAACTACCAGTCACATGAGAATTTCGCTAAGATTTCTAGGCAAAGACACCTTCATCTACTGCTTTTCATATACACATATATATATGAGTTATTCGATAGATCTCGCGAAATTCCATCAGTTTGTATAAATTTCAAAGAAGCTCTTCAGGTTTTATTAAGACAAATACTCTGTACTATGATATAAACATATTTACTATTATTAATTATTTGAGAACTTTTGCCACTATTTCGAGCGCACGAGATTTTTTTTTACTTTATTGTCGAAAAAGTTATGTTGGTATCTCTTAATAGATTTCAATGATATCTATCGACTGGTATATATGTAAAAAGAAACCAGTCTTGATATAAGATAATGAACAGACAGTCATTTTGAAAACTCTAGTCGAGATTAAATCTAAGTGAAAAGATCTTTACATAGCATCTCTCATAAGATAATCTTAATTGTCAAGGTTAGTTGGTCACAATACTACATCAAGTGCTGTATTGTATAACCCTTCAAAATTTTTACAAGCCTATTTGCTAATCATCATAAAGCTCTCTAGTTGTAAACGATGTATACTTCACATTTTAAAATATCAAGCCCATTATCATGCACTGTAAATTACGATCTCTATTGACTTCTTACGAGACTAGTTAAAGTATTCGATAGATATTCTAATCGGCTCAAACCTTTATAGTAAGCACGAATGTGTAATATATTTTCGGCTTTAATATCGATTAATCAAGTGAAGGTCAGAAAAGAAAAAAAACTTCAAGACAATTGCGACTTTTACTCGTAATAAAAGTGGAGATTGGGTAAGATTTTAAATAAAATTCTGTCGACCAGATTCTGCACTATGGAATAGTATATAGCACATCTAGATTTAATCAAGTTTTGGTAAAGATGTGGAATAGACACAAAAAAGAAGCTCAGAAAAAAAATTGGTCAATTTTGATAGATTCCATAAAGCTGGTCAACTTGTGTCTTTTATCTTCACATAATCATATCAATATTCAACCTTAATGTTTTGTCTTTGGTATATATACAGTATGATATTTCAAACTAAATATCAAAGATAAGAAGCTAAAATATACTTTCAGACAGCTCCTATACATTATGTTAGCCAGAGTTGTTCCCAATGTTCAATGATATTCTGGGCTTTTTTTCTGTTTCTTTTTGTTAACCTCAGTATTCGTTTTAGCATAAAATGGTAAGACTATTAATAAAGATAAGGAGAGCATCTTGTCTAGAGTGATAACAAAGATAAAACCAAAATGAAATACGTCACTAAAAATACAAAATGGTTCCTTCAGACTATACTTTTCTTCTATTGTAATTAGAATATGTTGTATAATACAAAAGATAAATCCGAGTGTTTGAATACGATTCAGAATTCTCAAACAAATAGATTGATATACTAATTTACTGATAACGTACGAAAACTACAAGTTGCCATTTCTTCTTGATCTATGATGATATTCGTTTGATGTTTTTTTATTCAAATTGGCTGTACTAGTATATTTAAGTGAGAATGATACACAAACAAAACCACAGTGTAATAGGTACTATAAACAATCCAATTAGCTGAAGTCTTTGTTTGAGGTCAATATTGAATTCTGTTTACGTTAAAACTGGTTTAGTTATCAATATCAATTTTAAGTGTTGTGTAAGTAACAGCTTCGAATTTTAGAGATCTATGTCACTTTTTACAAAACATAGTGTTATCGAAATAGATTTAAAATCATATATTAAAAAAACCGAATTTTTTATCGAAGCTATAACTTTGATATGACATATACATGTATTCTTAATGTACGAGAATAGAATACTAATGAGAAATTGTATATTAAAAAACAGTATTATATTTAACCTAAAACCGTGTATAAGCATGAAGATTGACTATTGATAGTTTAAAATCATTATTAAATACAGACATCAAAACTTTAATCATCATTCAATACAGAATGCCTGCCATTAATTTAACAATATTTTAGTCTAAAAATCAGTTGTAGTCCAAGCAGAAGAAGAGCGTTGTCGGGAATGTACTGGCCCCCATGCCCTTTTCAATCGTGAGAAATTTGTATTTTTTCTCGGCACAACTGAAACTCTTTTTTATTATTTTGGTAGGAGAAAGGTATACTCTCTTTATAAAAGTTCCTGATACCTCTCCATTGTCAATATTGACTGCTTCGGGTCACCGTTGCTAGAGATAATTGTTTTGTTTTTTTTTTGTTCTTACTCTTTTGTTCGCTTACCCTTCTTTTTTTTCTTACATTCTATAGTTGCATCTTTTCAGGATTTATATTTGTTACACACACAAACAGTTACTTCATTCATTTTATATACTTTTATTGTCCAGATTTAGTTAAACATATATTTTAACAAATAACAATCATGGCTTTACCACTAAATATGACATTAACAGTTTCATGTGATGTATCCGAAGAAGATTCAGGACCAACAATTGTTCACAGTACAGGTGTCCAAAATTATCGTATTCATCCTGGGCTTATTCAAATTTTACAAGGCGCATTTGGAAATGAAAGATTATGTGATCATGAAGAAGGAGTTCAATGTACAGATCCAGCAGCAAATGTTATTGAAGCATTTGAAAATGCTGGGTTTTCTGTAGAAGGTACATCAGAATCTGGTGATCGTAAAATATGGATGTTAATAAAAACAAGTGCAGATGAAGAGTAATATTAAAAAGAAGGAGATCCATAAATTCTTTTATTAAAAATCAATTTAAAAAGAAATCAAAGACTTTCTATATTCTTTTTTACATAGTTAGAAGCGTAAAATAAAGTAAAATAAAATCTTCTTTAATAAACTACATATGAAAGGAGAACACACTGTTAGTTTTGAGGAAAAAATCGCGTTAAATTCGTAAAAAAACTGCTTTTTGAAATATAATGATTATGTTGCGATTATTAAGACGAACATCTATCGTATCTTATGAAAAATTTCAAGAATGTCTTTTTGAAGAAAACAACAACCTCAAAATAACAACTTCTTTCGATGGAATTCAATTACATCGAGTTTTAGGAAATAGTAAGGAATGCATGAGAAGAACTTATATATACATGAGAATTGTGTGTTAAATGTTTTATAGATTAGAAAAAAATTCAATTATTGTTTTGAGACCATTCAAAATACATAGTTAACGCCATTCATGCTATTATTAGATATAGGCAATGTCATCCTTGGACTGAAAATTTTCGGCCAAGACCTGCACCAACACTTTTTTTACTGGCAACAATATCCTTTAAGGAGAGATAAAACTTGAGTCGAATATCATATTTTTATAACTCATACGTTCTAGACATATATGAGAAAAATAATATTGATTCTCCGGTCGAATCGGGAATACCTACAGGCAAACTTTGTAAAGAAGAACGCAATTTTCATTGCACGCTGGATTCAGATCGTTTATGCGCCTATACAAGTTGGTGAAAACTACAGTGCATTGATACAGCAGTAAGAGGGTGTGGGTGTGTGTAGATTTTGGTGCAAATGTGAGTGTTGGTAGCAGTGCGTGAATGCAAATGTGGATATGAGTGCAAGTTTGATTGTGGGCGGGTGCGACTATGAATGTGGGTTTGGGAGATGCGGTGGCTGTAAATGTCCATCATTTCTTTGTCCACTCACACCCACACCTCTGCCGCGAAGGCGAGTGTCCGAGAAATATTTGCCGCAGGGGAGCAGGTATCATGGGAACAAGTGTCCCGAGAGCAACTGTCGCGGAAGCATCTGTTATGAAATCAAAAAAAGGACCGCGAAAAATTGTTCACTGTCTAGAGCAAGGAGATGTTCACATTAGAGAAAGAGGCATTTACAGCAAAAATCGCTTTGTCGAACCTAAAACCATTCATAAGTAACAGGTATTTACTAGTAGAAGTTTTGGTATAGTTTAAAAGTATCATTCAACGCAAAGATTATAACTTTAATCATCATTCTATGTATAATGGCTGGGTCATCGATGTATAAATAAATATTTTAGTCTAAAAATCAGTGGCAGCTCGATCAGGGAGAGATGTAACAATCTTCTCTTTACCAATGGTGGGAAATTTGTATTTTCTTTCAACAGAATAACCTATGTCTGCTCTTTTTCAGCAACTGCGTCGTATTTTAATCGTAACTAGATTTGACTGAGTTGCAATTCAATCGTAATCGAAAGCATAGAGAAATTCTGTTGTTGCATTCTGTTAGATGGAAGGCATTCTCTATTTGCAAAAAGCTGTGGCACTCCTGTCAACTTCAAATTTCGGATGCTTCGAGTCACTATTGTTAAAAGCATTTGTTTAGCTTTTTTCTTCTTACCTTCTTGTTCTTTTATTTTTCTCTCTCTCGCACATTCTGTAGTTGCATTTTTTCAGGATTCATATTTGTTACACACAAAAAATTACTTCATTCATTTTATATACTTTTGTTTTCACGGTCTAGTTAAATATATACTTTGACAAATAACAATCATGGCTTTACCACTAAATATGACATTAACAGTTTCATGTAACATATCCGAAGAAGATTCAGGACCAACAATTGTTCACAGTACAGGTGTCCAAAATTATCGTATTCATCCTGGGCTTATTCAAATTTTACAAGGCGCATTTGGAAATGAAAGATTACGTGATCATAAAGAAGGTGTTGAATGTGATGATCCACCAGCACAGGTTGTTGAAGCATTTAGAAATGCTGGGTTTTCTGTACAAGGTACATCAGAATCTAGTAATCGTAAAATATGGATGTTAACAAAAAAAAGTGGAGATGGTAATGATGGTGGCGGTGACGGAGGCGAGCCAGAACCAGAACCAGAACCTGAACCGGAACCCGAAGAAGATGAAGGAGAAGAGTAAACTCGATCATTAAAATTGATTTGAAAAAAAAACAACAACAAAGACTTCTTATATTCCTTTTTACCTAAATCGAAGTGTAAAAGAAAAAAACACACTTTCTTCAATAAACTATATATGAATGACGAATATACCGTTGATTTTCAGAAAGATCGAGTTACATTCGTGATAAAACGCTCGTTTTAAATATAATCATTGTCTCACTATTATTCAGATGAATATTTTTTGTAATTTCTGAGATAATTAAAGTTTTTTGCGAAGGAAAGAGAGAATTTGAAGACAGCAGCTTCTTTCGATTGGATTTAGTCGGATCGATTTTCGAAAATAGTGAGTAATATACGGGACGACTTTATTATTCACCAGTATTCTATGATAGATTTTTTTCGGGTTCACTCTCAAAAGAGATTCAGTCTTTGTACAGAGAACAGAGCTATTTAAGAGAGTTTTTTTTACACATATCGTTCATATTAATAAAGATTTACGCATGTCGTCTTTTTTTTTCGCAAATGTGCCGCAATTCAATCGTAATCAAATACATGAGTAATTATTTCTTGATTCTCCACATCTCTAAATAAATATTTGTTGAATTTCAAACACTATATAAAAATTTTTCACATTGGTTGATCAATATTCGTAACTATCTGATATATAATTGTAGTTATTTAATATCTATTCAGAGCTATTTATTTTCTTGAATGTCTTTAAGTGAATAGCTATTTAATCATTAGCACTATTTAATATTTACTCGGTTACTTATTTATTCTAATGGATTTGTTTCGAGCATGAAGCATGAAAATTGAAAATAATTCGATCGACAGCTATCTAACCTCAAGTACTATTTTATGAATATTCATAACTATATGAATAAGAAGAGAGAATATCATGGAATTGTTCTGTTGTTTAAGTTGAGACCTATTGAAATATAATATTGAATGTTCAAATCGAATTCGAAAAAAATAAGTTTAGAACTATCTTGAAAATGATGCGTTAGTCAGAATTGAGTAATATAAAATTAGAATACTAAAAGAACAGAAAAATACATAAACAAATATTCTATACAGCATATTTACTGTTATTTTTTCTTTCAATAACAATGATTAATTTGGTAATTGTATTTGCATAACATTAATATTGCTCAAGAGTAACCATTATCAATGTAGGGCAAAATATAGTTTTCCCGGTTAGAGTTTTTTTTTCATAACAGGTCATTTGAAAGTATATTTTAAATTAAAATATAATTCTTTCAGTAAGTGAGACCACAGCTTTTCTATTGAAAATCCAAGTAAAACTTTGATATCTCACGAATGAAGGCCCAAAAAAGCAAACAAATCTAGACTTTTCTATTATTCATCAGTACTCATCAAATAAATATCGTTCCGATTGAAAAGCGATGTGACACTTGGAGAGGTTCTCTCGTCAGATGAAAGGTATTTATTTTTCGTATTCTTTACAATTGAATGGATTTAAAATATTAGTCCGTGTTATTTTTATATGTACTTCTAAAACTTCATTCATTGATACAAGAAACATTAAAAAAGAAACAGAAATGCTTCATATGAGAGAAAAGTTTTTTTTTTAGTTATACAAAATAGCATGCAAATAATAGATGTAGAATAATATGCATTCTCGATAATCAGTATAGTTGTTTTTAACTTGAATCAACTAGTATTGTATTTATTTGACCATATTAAAGAAATTAAAGTACATACGTAAAGATATCATATTCTGTATTATTTATTGAGTAACATATATATTATTGTTTACTATATCGTATATTTTAATCATTATTCAACGTTGAATGTTAATATATCAAACTCAATCTTTTGAACGCAACAGATCAAACGATAAATACAAAGGTTTATTCGAAATTGAGAAAATGTTAAGAGAACTTCAGTTTTCTTATATCGTTTCACTTTGCTAGTAATCGAAATCATGATTGTAAAACAAAAAAAAAAAGAACTTATTACAAATGGTTTCTTCAATAAAAACAAAGTTACAAAAATATTTGTTTGTATTTTTTCGTTATAAAATTGGTTGTTACTAATAAAAGAAATTATTTTTCAACGTATTTTATTTTTGAAAATAAAGAAAAGAAAAATTTATAAATATTTAAAATAGAAAAAAGAAATACAAAATTAATTCTTGATTTCATTTTAAGGAAGATAAGTATATCACTCGGTATTTTGTATTGAAAAATCAATGTTTCATGTTCAAGTTGAAAATAGAACACCTGTTATAGCCATTTTTTGAAGAGCTGAAATTAAATATTCATTTGCATGTGCATAATCCGTTGGTTCTGGTCCATGATTAGCACATTGTGTACTAATTTTAATAAAACGTTGTAATGTTGTATATGCTTGTTCATCAGACCAAAAATTTGAACCCTTAGTTAATGGTAATACAGATGAATTTATTGGATTTGTTGTTTTTGTTGTTGTTAAAAGTACTAATGGTGAACATTCATTAAGAATAAAATATGTTAAAATATGTTGCCAAACAGAATCAACAAATACTGGCTTTGATGAAGTTATTGGTGAACGTGTTTTTGATAATGAATTATAAACATAATGATGAAGAATTTCAATAATTAAATAATCAATTAATGATATTTGACGTTGAAGAAGAAGACGTTTAGCTGTTAATGTTGGTCGAAGTGAAAGAGTAATTGTAGTAGGTGTTTCAGATGAATATGTATGATGAAAATATACGGTTTTATTTTTAGCAATTAAATATTGAACTGCATGTTGTAAAGATTGACCAATTAGACGATACGGTTGAATTTCAAGCATCTGTGCTACAATTGCTGGCGATACTGAAAAACAAAAAAGTTGAATTTATTTTTGAAACATTCGTAATTTAAAATTTCAATTTAACAAGTAGTAAGCTTCAAGTTAATCACATGCGCAGATCAATGTTTAACTCTAACTAAATTCAGCTTATCATTCTATCTAAACTAACGATCATATGAGAAATGATGATTCTGTAAAGTATAGAAATACAATAATTAATAACTCAACTAAAAATAAATTCGATATGATAATATATATTTCATAATATTATAAAACTTTTTTTTTGTTTGAAATTGATTTTGAGTTGGAAACTATAAAACTTATGAAATTGAGTAGATGAATTAAACATTTCATCATCAAACATTGTTCGGTTCACTCATTCTCAAAATCTGTCGGGTTCATTTTAAACTCAGTAAAGTTTGGGTTCAAAAATTTTGGAACCGACGCGCTCTATTCACAATAAAATTTTATTACCATTTCATGTTGCACGTTTGTTCGCGCTACCATCCCTATACTATGGTAGAATGACGTTTACGGGAAATCCGATTACTTAAATATCAAACTATCGCCAGTTGATTGTCGGTATATAAGCGATTCTGTGTCATTACTGACACATACCGCATATATGACGAAAATAAATACGAAACGGCATACTGAAGGTGTTTTGTATGATTTGTTAATTAAAATCTTATCTTATTCTTTAATTATTCAGTTATCCTATAAAAACTTTTCATCTTAATAAATAATTGAAATATTCAATTAAACTAAAAACGAAACTATCCAACATGTAAAGGTTAGACTGAATAAAATAATCTTATTCTATTAATAAGTTAATCTTATTCTTCAACTTACATAATTTTGTTTGTTTTTTAATATTTAATTTTCGTGTTTCAATTAATAATGGTGCAAATAACCATGGTAAACTTAAAATTCGTCTAGCATGACTTGTATCATTATAACAGACTATATATAAAGCACTTGCTTTAGCCATTTTTCTTTCCATACATTGTGCACAAGTCGAATGACAACGACGTAAATTAAATTTATTACAAGAACGTAAATCTTCAAAAAATAAACGACGTATACGACGTATTAATTGTTTAAATTCAACTTGTGCTGAATCAGCAACAAGACAAGTTGATTCTGTTTGTTGTTTAGTTAATGGAGTTTTATATTGTGATGATGATGAATCAAATCGACAAAGTAAATCAACATCAGATGAAAAACGATAAACATACATTATATCCATTATACTTTCACGATATATACGTGCTAATTCTTGAACCGATGAAGTAAATTCGGTATGTAAATCATGAACAAGTAATGTATCAATAGGAGATGGACATATAGTTGTTGGTGGAGTTTGAAGTGTTATCCAATTTGGATCAAAACGAAGACATGAACGAAATAATTGACCTAAAATAAGTTTATTCAAAAATTAAAGGTTATCATGAAAGATGCGTCTTTAAACATGACATCAAAATTTATCCATCAAATGAAATAACTATTAGACTTGTTTGAAAATGCTTTAATTCACAAGAAGAAATTCAACAGTTAGATCTTATCACAAGTATACAAAACGTTCGCTAGTACTCTGTAAGAATATTGTTAGAAATCAGGTGACGAAATCAAATTCGGATCTCTAATATCGGAATCTATTTATTTTTTTGGACCATATCTGTGTAAATTAATCCTGATTGATATATTTACGAATGACTGTGTGAGTAAACTAACACCACTATGTATATATATATGCACATCTGGCCGCTCACACGTATCTGTTCCACTGATGTCGATCTAATCCACCGACACATATGATTCGTCCGTCTATGGAAAAGTAAACTCAAAACTAAACAGACACTTGTAATACTGCCATTTAATATACAAAATGATACTTTTTCGATCTAGACAAAACTGGCGTTTGTACTTTAGTTCATTAAAAAAACAGCTTAAGAGAAGCTTCAGATTTTAATTCAGTAACCTCCCATCACTAGAAAACATCTTTAGAGAGTAGCAATTAGCCATATTGAGTTGATTAGTGACCAAAGTTGTCGATATTTTTTAGGAGTGAAGAGGCTGAAAATTCGGCGGAAGCTGGTCTCATTCGTGGAGCGCTAAGAGTGGCGATCGAGGTGAAAAATAGAACATAGTTTGACTTGCTACGAGTTTGTTCCTTTTCCAGAATCTACCTAAACCCTATTTACTTCGTAACGA